GCGGAGATAGAACTTTTCCAACTAATTGTTTCATATAGCATTTCCACCAGCCAGCGTTGTAACAATTTCATAGCTTGGGGTCTGCAGCCATCACGGCCGCGCGAACTGCGTGCTTTCATTGTTGATGCGCTCTGGAGTTCTTGCCAATCCGAATTATTGCCGCCAGTTGTTTGCGATGGAAAGATAATTAAATCGTTTCTGTGGTTGTGTCTGCTCGAAGATTTGGAAAAACCTTTGAGAAATTTAGAGCATCTATGCAAACTATTAGGTATCAATGAGCATGATTCGACATGGAATTTGGAAAATGAACTGGAGCGTATTGAGCTCAATCGTAGTGCAGTTGCAGCGGAACAAAAGGCAAAATTAGAAGAGACCGTTTTCCGACTAGAACCGCTTGCTGTGAGTTGCATTGAATCGTCTATGTTAACTACAAGGCGCGTTGCGGAGTTGCAGGTGGGTAGAATGTTTTATTTTTAGATATAACGGTGAATTAAGTTATATGCGAATTTCAGAACTCTGAACGCAAACTATTAATGTATCAATTAAAAGACTATGATGACGCCAGCATTTACACAAGGTGGTTGGGAGTTGTACGGCGAATGACACACGAAGGTGCGCCATGGCACTCCGCAGAACGTTCGGAAAAGTATGTATATAAAGAAAAGTCCTTAACTATAGCCTGGAAATTATCAACACATGCACATACATGTGCACAAAATTTGATTTAATAGCTCTTGGGAATTAGACGACACTGAAGGTCCATCCAGGGTCCATACGCGCCTGCGCCGATGCCATTTGGATATCGATAAACGCTTCTTTATGGAGGACTATTACACTACGGAGCTGCGTAACAATGATATTCCATTGAATTCGAGTACCTCTAGTATAGCAGAATATGTACGACCATTAGAATATCTTCTGTCCAGCTATGACCAACAGCTCAATATTTCGCTCAACTCTCAAATATTGTATAACTTTCCTGCCAAATTCTTACCAGTAGATGGCGAAATAGATGGTGAGATTATTATAACCGATCATAAACTATACTTTATGGCTACATATCGATGCAAGTACTTCTACATTAACTGTGATAT